TGGCAAGAGAACACTGTTCTCGAAGTTTTGAAACAGATGGTTGGCTAAAAAGAATTGCTGGTTGAAGGTTCACAAACTATATTGATAACCTATACCTTGAGCTTTTATGGTTCCCCGATTGTAAAACAATTGTTGTCTGATGTGTGCACGATGAAATACTATGCGATAGTAGTGTGCACACACTTTGTGATAACTATCCACAGTTCTACAGAAATTGTGGTTCATATATATGGCCTGTGATTTTTCGTCAATCAAACCACTTTCCATATAATTAAGCTATAGAATTTTCCAGCAAATCTTATCGAAATTGCTTTATTGGTTTTTGAGAAGACTCAGAAATACATAGTTCAATGTTTGACTCTTCCATATGTACATTATTGGGTGTCAAAATGCTTGCAAGTAATTATTTCTATATGATATGGTTGACTTCTAGAACTAACAGAATTTTTCAGGTAACTCAGTGCCCCTCCAAACACAAAAACATCTAAGTAGGAAACTTAAACAAAAATTATATTGATTAATGTATATGCTAAATTGTATTGACTGTATAAGTTGTATATGACCTATAAAGCAGGAGTTGAACCCAGTTACTGTATTGTGTAGTGACCAGCACTCTCAGCATTACATACTGATTACCCGCGGGTTATCTGCTACATGAAATAGAGTACCGGGTTTACTTCCAACGTCAGGTGATGTGGAAGACTACCCATGGGTTATCTGCTACATGAAACAGAGTACCAGGTTTACTTCCAACGTCAGGTGATGTGGAAGACTACCCGCGGGTTATCTACTACATGAAACAGAGTACCAGGTTTACTTCCAACGTCAGGTGATGTGGAAGACTACTCGCGGGTTATCTGCTACATGAAACAGAGTACCAGGTTTACTTCCAACGTCAGGTGATGTGGAAGATTACCCCTGGGTTATCTGCTACATGAAACAGAATACCAGGTTTACTTCCAACGTCAGGTGATGTGGAAGAATACTCGCGGGTTATCTGCTACATGAAACAGAGTACCAGGTTTACTTCCAAAGTCAGGTGATGTGGAAGATTACCCCTGGGTTATCTGCTACATGAAACAGAATACCAGGTTAACTTCCAACGTCAGGTGATGTGGAAGATTACCTGCGGGTTATCTGCTACATGAAACAGAGTACCGGGTTTACTTCCAATGTCAGGTGATGTGGAAGATTACCCCTGGGTTATCTGCTACATGAAACAGAATACAGAGTTTACTTCCAACGTCAGGTTATGTGGAAGATTACCTGTGGTGAGCAATTTTTAACATTGAAAATTGAGAAGTGTATAGTCTGCGGGCAATATTCAAGAAATAACGGTACTGGTTGATCGTATACTGGATCTGGTCGTATATCTAGGTAGACCAGAATAAGCAGGGACACTTTAATGTCTTGCAGAAGTAATCCACTGCTGCCGGTGTGTTTCACACATATTACCTCTTGATAAAGACGGATAACTACAACAAAAAACCCATTCAGTGTCAACAGAGCTTGGACAGACAAATAGCATCATAAAGTGAGGTAAATTCTCTATTCAATATTTCTATAAATAAACATCAATTCAGGATGACCAGGTAGTAGGGACATGTTAACATCTGGGACATTGGATAAATATACAAGCACACTTGCCCTGTTTGGACCTGAGCGTAACAAACAGTAAAGGTAAAAAACAATATTTTCTAATTTGGATATCTTACTTGGATCTAGTATATCTTCATGGCTATATATTATCTAAAAAAAAATGGATATGTGCCGTATTTACAGGGTGTCAAAATTGCTACTTTGAGCAATATACAATAAACATGGGATATTAAAATCTATGAAAGTGTTTTATCAGGACAAATAAAGGCACTTTTCTCAGTAATGGTACAATTTATTTTTTACTGTCTGGCTGCAAACTGCAATAGTTTAACAATTTACCGATAACAATAACAATTAGTCTTTCAATTACAGTTTTCAATTTAGAAAATATTTGATGAAGTAAACATGTCAAAAAATAAATGAATGTGGTCTGTATTTCCAACAAGTTTTGTTATTTTTAACAATTTGAAGTTTAAAATGTTATGATCAATTCAATATGATATAAAACCTCCTTATACTCGCATCACATTTCACAACAAAATTTCTGCATTATTAACAAGTTTGCCAATATATGGTAAACAGAGTTCTATTCACTCACAGTCAAATTTTAAAATATTTTCACCAGATGTTACTGAACAAATCATGTTTTTAATTAGTTCTAAATATTATGCTTTTGTCGAGGAGAATCTTAATTTTGTGTATCTGTAATCTAGAATCAGTCAAGGTCCGAGAATATGTCTCCAACTCTTTTGACCTTCCTATTTCAGTTGTGCATAAATTATCATTATCAAAAGTGTAATACATATGTTCATTCCTGCAACGAAAAATAAACTTATTTATTCAATGTTAGTAAATGTTTAACAAATTTGATCCTTGTGATCTTGTTAAAGTCATTCACTGGAGGAAAATTAATAGCACCACACAGCAGCATGCTACTGATCAAGTATCATCTGTGTCATTTATTCAGACATTTGTTCAAATGTTTAAACATATTTGACCCCTGTCACCTTCAAAATAGGTCAAAGTCATTCATTTGAGTCTTCTTCATATTTATATATTTTACTTTGTGATCTTGAAAGTAGGTCCAAGGTCATTAATACGCAGAAAATTTATAGTAATTCATGCCAGGTACTTACAGGCCAATCATCATCACTCTGGGCCTCCTCATTATTCAGAAGTTCTTTTAAATGTTTTTACATATTTGTGACCTTGAAAATAATTCAAGGTAACTTTTTTGAGGAACCTTTATAGCACTCCATCCCAGGTACATACTGGTCAGATATGGTTGTAGGTCCTACAGTTCTTAAGTGGTCATTCAAAGAAAAAGTTGACAGATGACAAACAACACACCTTACCACAAGCTCAACTGGCACTGTATGCCAGGTTAACTAACAATATCAAGTCTTCAATGCTTAAACAGATAATTACACTAACTATAAATTGATTGATCTTCTAAACAGCAAAATACAACCAAAACTGGTTTTACACCTTTAATCAATAGAATTTCATCAAAAGATTCAATTTCATAAAAACTTTTCATTTTACTACAGATAGCTAGACAGTATTTCTGGAGGGTTATTTGTTTCTTGCTCTAGCAGTTCAAGCTTACAGCAGCCACAATTAGTACTATCACATGTGTGGATGGATATGTTATATTATACAAGAGGCCACGTGTATTGCTCACCTAGTTATCTAAGTAATCATGGCAAATATTCTCCTAATAAGATCCAAGGGAATGGGCCAAACCCCAAGGCCAATCCTTGTAGCATAACTGTATTAGATTTTACATGCCCAGCAATTTTATGTATGGTTATGGGGTGGGGATCTCAACTGTTTCCAAGCTGTGATTCAGAAACTAGGACCCCAGGGTTGTGGCAAGACCCCAGGATCAATTCGAACATCATGACTGCATTCGTCTCTGTATGACCAGCATTTGTATATATAGTTTTGGGGTGTGGATTTCAACCGTTTTGAATTTATGACCCAGGAGTTATGTCTCCAAGGGTGGGCAGTCCCCAGGGCCATCTTGGAAGCATATGTGCATTCTTCTCTTTATACTTGGCTATTGCATAATATGTTTATAGGGTAGGAATATCAACTGTTTCAAAACTGAGACTCAGAAACGAGGTCCCTAAGGATGGGGCCAGACCTCAGAGTCAATTCTAATTTCATGCCTGTGTTGGTCTCTTTATATCCAGCATTTGTATACAATGTTTTGGGGTGGGGATCTCAACTGTTTCAAAGGACCATCCTGAAAGCAAATGAACATGCTTCTCGTTATACTCAGCAATTGTATATATGGTTTTAGGGTGAGGATCTCAACCATTTCCAAATGATCAACTATTCCCCACCCCTTAGCCCCGCACCTCAGCCCCACCATTTGTACAATTTTGAATCCCTGCCTCCCATCAATGCTTCTGACCAAATGTGATTTATATCCAGTGCATAGTTCTACAGAAGTCATTTATAGTAATACAGCCAAATTGCCCCCTTTCGGCCCCGCCCCTCAACAACCTGGGTGGTCAGCCCCACCATTGGTACAGTTTAGAATCCCCATCTAGGGATGCGTAAAGTCAAATATGGTTAATGTCCATCTCTTGGTTCCAGGGAAGAATTCGCTAAAAGTAATATAGCCAAATAACTCATTTTGACCCTGCCCCTAAGCCACCTGGGGGGTCAGCCCCGCCATTAATCCCTGCCTCCCATAAATGCTTCGAATAAAAAAAGATCAATATTAAGTGCATAGTTCTACAGGAGAAGTCGTTAATAGCAATATAGCCAAATTGCCCTCTTTAGGCTCAGCCCCACCATTTGTACAATTTTGAATCCCTGCCTCCCATTAAAGATTCCAAGCAAATATGATTGTTATCCACTGCATAGTTCTGCAGGAGAAGTCGTTTATATTAATGTAGCCACATTGCCCGCCCCTCAGCCCTACCATTTGTATAATATTGAATCCTCATTACCTAGGGATGCTGCCGGTCAAATTTGGTTGATATCCATCTCTTAGTTCCACAGAAGTCGTTAAAGCAATATAGCCAAATTGCCCTCTTTTGACCCCACCACTCAACCCCACCATTGGTATTATTTTGAATCCCTACTACCTAGTGATGCTTCCAATCAAATATGATAAATATCTATCGCATAGTTCTACAGAAGAAGTGGTTTATATCAATATCGCCAAATTTCCCCCTTCCCTCCAATCAAATTTAGTCAAATTCCAATCAATGGTTAAGAAGAAGAAGTCGTTTGAAGAAACTGTTGACATACGGACAACGGATGCCACAGTACAGCATAAGCTCACCTTGGTCTTTTGGACCAGGTGAGCTATTAAATGGCAAGATCTCTGTTATTTTAATTATACATGATAAAGAAAAAAATACCATTGGAAAAGGTTAATATAGTATCATATATATATATATATATATTTCTACAGAAATATTTTTATTCATGCAAATTTATATTTAAATCGTGACTTTTGTTTCACCACCAAATTTTCCAACGTTGTAGAACTCCAGGTTGTCATATGACCATTACCTGTCTAATTCATTTAGTGGTTGACACAGATTCAGTGTAGATGGCCAAAAAGCTACCATACTTTTTTTGTATGAATTTCAGGTATTGGTTTTAAAATATGCAATTGAAAAAAACAAAATAAACATGAGCAATGTTGAAAGCTGGGTTCATACACAGAACAGTACACCTATCAATCATGAAAAAAACATACAATACGGTAAGATTTGAAATATATTGTTCATGGTGTCTATAGGAGAGTGAACAATATCACAGTTGTTCTGAAAGCCATGGAATTAGGATTTGTACGTCTTTAAGCCTCCGGCCAGTGAAGTGCTAGGTCAGCACCTTCTTTTCGGAAAACTGGTGTGCTGGTAGCAGCAGCTGGTCGCACTGCAACATGACGTTTCTTGTTTCCAAGCATACATGTTATGGGTTTGGATATTGTAACCTTCAATTCTTTGCCTTTTCTGAAAAAGAAAAATGATAGGAATGAATATCTTTTATCACACATATCATGGCAATCTTCAAATCACTTTATCCTTTTAGTTTAGAACATAATACGCCCGTCGAATGCCATATAGTGTTAGATACTGTCTTACATTGAAATAAGATCTGCATCATTCTAAGAGTGGTTAGCTGACATGCTATAAACAAGAGGCCCACAGGGCCTGTATAGCTCACCTGAACATGTTTAAAACAAGAGGCCCAGAGGGCCTGTATCGCTCACCTGAATATGTTTAAAATAATTGGTATGAAGTAAAGATATAGCACTCAATGGTAGGTGCTGTAAGTACATATGAAATTTCAGAAAGATCCATCCAGTACTTGAGATATAGCGAGAACAAACTTCAAACAGAGCCCCACCCCTATGTCCCTAGGGGGGTCATACCCTACAATTATACAAAATTGAGACCCCTTGGTCCAAGGATGCTCCAGACTAAATATGGAAAAAATCCCTTAATCACGATGGTCGAAGAAGGATTTAAAAGGTTTTACCTCTATTTCTCCTATTGGCCCCGCCCTTTTGCCCCTGGGAGACCACACCCACTGCATATACAAAATTAAGTCCCCTTGGCCCAAGGATGCTCCAGACTAAATTATGATAAAATCCCTAAATCCCTATGGTAAAAGAAGGATTTTAAAGGTTTAACCTCTATTTCCCCTATTGGGCCCTGCCTCTCTCGCCTCCAGGGAGGTTAGACACACCGTTTATATAAAATTGGTTCCCCTTTACCCAATGATGCTTCATACCAAATTTGGCCAAATCCTGTCATTCGTACAGAAGAAGAAGGTATTTGAAGAATTTGCTATGTTTCCCCTATTGGGCCCCCTCCCTTCTATCCCCAGGTGGGCCACACTCGCTGTTTATACGAAATTGAGTCCCTTTTGTCCAAGGCTGCTCCAGACTAAATTAGGATAAAATCCCTCAATCCATATGGTAGAAGAAGGATTATAAAGGTTTTACTTCTAATTCCCCTATTGGGCCCCGCCCCTCAGGTCCCAGGGGGGGCACACCCACCGCTTATACAAAATTGGTTCCCCTTTACCCAAGGATGCTCCACACCAAATATGGACCAAATCCTTTCATTCCTACAGAAGAAGAAGGATTTTAAAGAATAATTTTCTATGTTTCCCCATTGGGCCCGCTCTCAGGCCCCTGACAGGCCAGACCCAGGGTTTATACAAAATTGGTTTCCCTTCACCCGAGGATGCTTCAGACCAAATATGGAACAAATCCTTTCATTCCTACAGAAGAAGAAGGATATTAAAGAATAATTTGCTATGTTTCCCCAATTGGGCCCCACCTCTCAGGCCCCATGGCAGGCCAGACCCATGGTTTATATAAAATTGGTTCCCCTTGGCCTAAGGATACTCTAGACCAAATTTAGTCAAAATCTACTTGGCCGTTCAGGACTAGTAGCGTTTTAAAGGAAAAGTTGAAGGACAAACGACGGACGACGGACGACGGACACTGCGGTATGGCATAAGCTCACCATGGTCATTCGGACCAGGTGAGCTAAAAATTGGTATGAAGTAAAGATATAGCACTCCATGGTAGGTGCTGTAAGAACATATAAAATTTCAGCACACCCACTGCTTATACAAAATTGAGTCCCCTTGGCCCAAAGATGCTCCAGACTAAATTGAGATAAAATCCCTTAATTCTTATGGTAGAAGAGGATTTTAAAGGTTTTACCTCTATTTTCCCTATTGGACCCCGCCCGCCTCTCTGCCTCCAGGGGGGTTACATAAAATATAAACAAGAGGCCCAGAGGGCCTGTATCTCTTACCTGGATATCAGGTCATGGCAAACTATTCTCCAAATGAGATCCAAGGGAATATGCCAGACCCCAAGGCCAATTCTTTTAGTATGTCTGTATTAGATTTTTCATGCCCAGCAATTTAATGTTTGGTTATGGGGAGGGGATCGCAACTGTTTCCAAGCTGTGACTCAGAAACTAGATCCCTAGGGTTGTGGCCAGACCCCATGATCAATTCTAATAGCATGACTGCATTTGTCTTTTTATGCCCAACAATTGTATATATAGTTTTGAGGTGGGGATCTTAACCATTTTGATGTTATGACCCAGGGGTTAAGTCTCCAAGGGTGGGGCAGACCCCAAGGCCATCCTGGAAGATTATGTGCATTCATCTCTTTATACTCAGCAATTGTATATATGCACGGTTATAGGGTGGGGATCTCAACTGTTTCCAAGCTGTGACTAAGAAACTAGGTCCCTTGGGGTTCGGTCTATTCTAATACCATGACTTTTGTCTCTTTATGCCAAGCATTTGTATATATAGTTCTGGGGTGGGGATCTCAACCGTTTCAAAGTTATGACCCAGGGACTATGTCTCAAAGGGTGGGGCCAGACCCTAGATAGCCTGGAAGCAAATGTGCATGCTTCTCTTTGTACTCCACAATTGTATATATGGCTTTACCGTGGGGATCTCAACCATTTCCCAGTCAGCCCCACCATTTGTACAATTTTGAATCCCTATCTCCCATAAATGCTTCTGACCAAATATGATCAATATCCATGGCATAATTCTACAAGGTCATTTGTAGCAATATAGCCATATTGCCCACTTTTGGCCCTGCCCTCAGCCTCCTGGGGGGGGGGGGGGTGGGGGGGAGGTCAGCCCAGCCATTTGTACAATTTTGAATCTCCACTACCGAGGGATGCTTCCAGTCAAATATGGTTGATATCCATCTCTTAGTTCCAGAGAAGAAGTCCCTTAAATCAATCAATATAGCCCAATTTCCCCTGCCCCTCAGGCCCCTTGGGGGCCGGACCCACGGTTTATACAAAATTGGTTCTCCTTTACCCAAGGATGCTTCAGTCCAAATATGGAACAAATCCTTTCATTCCTACAGAATAAGAAGGATTTAAAGAATTTGCTGTTTCCCCTATTGAGCCCCGCCCCTCAGGCCCCTATGGGGCCAGAACCACGGTTTATACAAAATTGGTTCCCCTTTACCCAAGGATACTTTGGACCAGATATGGAACAAATCCTTTCATTCCTACAGAAGAAAAAGATTTTAAAGAATTTGCTATATTTCCCCCTAATGGGCCCACCCTTCTGGCCCTTACAAAATTGGTTCCCCTTTACCCAAGGATGCTTCAGACCAAATATGGAAGAAATCCTTTCATTCCTACAGAAGAAGAAGGATTTTAAAGAATTTACTGTGTTCCCTATTGGGCCCCGCCGCTCAGGCCCCTCTGGGGCCAGACCCACGGTTTATAAAAAATTGGTTACCCTTTACCCAAGGATGCTTCAGACTAAATATGGAACAAATCCTTTCATTCCTACAGGAGAAGAAGAATTTGCTATATTTCCCCTAGTGGGCCCCGCCCCGCAGCCCCCACAGGGGCCAGACCGACCATTTATAAAAATTTGTTTCCCTTCCCCTAAGGATGCTTCTGACAAAATTTGGTCAAAATCTGCTGTCATTTATGACAAGTAGTGATTTTTAGGAAAAGTTGACGGACGCTGGACGCCGTGCCATGGCATAAATATAAGCTCACTTGCCTTTCGGGAAGGTGAGCTAAAAATGAAGACACATTACTTTCAGATTTCATTAAGGACATGTAAATATGTAATAAAAGAAACTTATCAAGTGTGATGTGACTTAAAATCAAGATTAAAAGGAAATATTATCATGTAATATATATACAAGATTTGGTGAGTTTTTACCAATAGATAACAAAGATATGAGTGTTTAACTATGTTGTGGTAATTTTTGTGGTTGCTACAGCAGCTGTAGCCATTTTGGCTTAGGGCACATGGGGGAAATCATATCTAGGGCAACCATCCAAGATGGCTGCCAGGGAGCAAAGAGTTTAAGGTTTAAACCTCAAATTCCCCTATTGGGTCCCGACTATCAGCACCCAGAGAGGCCACACCCTCCGTTTATACAAAATTGAGTCCCCTTTGCCCAAGGATACTCTAGGCCAAATTTTGATAAATACCTCCAATGGTACAGCAGAAGGATTTTAAAAGTTTAAACTTCGAATTCCCTATTGGGCCCCGCCCCTCAGCACCCAAAGGAGCCACATCCTCCATTTATACAAAATTGAGTCCCCTTTGCCAAAGGATGCTCCAGGCCAAATTTGGTCAAAATCAATAATGCTGTTCAGGACTAGAAGTATTTTAAAGGCGGGTTAGCTAAATACGACAACAGTCAATGGCTACTTTTGCTACCGTATTTACTTACATCTGCCAGAACCTGCAGAGTGTGCCGACAAACTCGCCAACCCTTTCCTCCTTGCCTGGACTGGAAAGACAAATGACCAGGTCATTTCCTCCCATCAGATGGATGACCACCAATTGGTCAGAGTCAGAGGTCACACTAAGACCAGTGACCTTGAAAACAGAAAAAAAACATCTTATCATTTACTTTGGAAACTCCTTTAATAGCTCAACTGGTATTTTATTTTTCAATTTAAAACCTGCTGAGTACCAGACAGGTTTATCAAAGGAGTACAATAGACAAAGTTTATAAATATTAAATTCCCTTTGCCCGAAGAATCTCTGGAACAAGCTGGGTTAAAATCCCTTCAACGATACAGAAGGAAAAGGATCTTTAATGTTTTCCTGCTGAGTACCATACAGGTTTATCAAAGGAGTACAATAAACAAAGTTGCAAGAAGAACTACATATAAATCTGTTTTGGTGGGAAAGACACAAAGAAAAAGGGTTTCCGTGTTATGTCCCAATTGTCCTCGATTTCCCCTATTGGGCCTCACATGCACCTTTTTATACAAATTAAACAAATTAAGTTTTTTTCCCCTAAGCATAAATCCCTTCATTTGTACAGAAGGGAAAATATTTTTCTCTATTTCCCCTATTGGGCCCCACTCCTCTGCCCCTGGGGGGCAGGGCACATCTTCCATTTATACATAAGATATTAAATTCCCTTTGCCCGAAGATTCTCTAGAACAATTTTGGTTAAAATCCCTTCAACGGTACAGAAGGAGAAGGATCTTTAATGTTTTCCTCTATTTCCCCTAATCCCCCAAATAAGAGGGTTCACACACCTCAGTTTATACCAAATTGATTCTTTTGTCCCTGAGCATGCTTCAGACTGCATTTGGTTTAAATCCATTCACTTGTATAGTAGGAAAACAAAATCCTCTATTTCCCCTATTGGGCCCCGCCCCTCTGCCCTCAGAGGGGCCACACCCTCTGTTTATACAAACTTGATGCTCTTTTGTTCAGAAATGCTCTAGAACAAATTTAGTCAAAATCCTTCTATTGGTTGAGAAGAAGATTTTTAAAGATTTACCTATTTTCCCCCTATTTGGCCCGCCCCTCTGCCCCCAGGGGCGGCCATACCCTTTGTTTATATAAGACTGAGAACCCTTTGGCCAATGTTGCTCCAGAACAAATTTGGTAAAAATCCCTTTGTCGGTACAAATGGAGAACGATCTTTAATGTTTTCCTCCATTACCCCTAATGGGCTCCACCCATATGCCCCAAATAAGAGGGTCCACACACCTCAGTTTATACCNCAGAACAAATTTGGTAAAAATCCCTTTGTCGGTACAAATGGAGAACGATCTTTAATGTTTTCCTCCATTACCCCTAATGGGCTCCACCCATATGCCCCAAATAAGAGGGTCCACACACCTCAGTTTATACCAAATTGATTCTTTTGTCCCTAAGCATGCTTCAGACTGCATTTGGTTTAAATCCCTTCACTTGTATAGTAGGGACAAAAAATTCCTCTATTTCCCCTATTGGGCCCCGGCCCTCTGCCCTCAGAGGGGCCACACCCTCTGTTTATACAAACTTCAGGCTCCTTTGTCCAAAGATGCTCTAGAACATATTTGGTCAAAATCCTTCTACTGGTTGAGAAGAAGATTTAAAAAAAAAAAAAAAAAATACCGATTTCCCCCCTATTTGGCCCCACCCCTCTGCCCCCAGAGGGACCATACCCTCTGTTTATACAAAACTAACAACCCTTTAGCTAATGATGCTCCAGGCTAAATTTGGTAAAAATCCTCTGAGCCAGTAAGGACAAGTAGCGTTTTAAAGGAAAAAGTTGACGGATGACGGACACCGATCGGACGCTGGACGCTGCGCCATGGCATAAGCCCACTTGGCCCTTCGGGCCAGGTGAGCTAAAAACAAAGTATCGGCAAAAAACTTTTACAGACTATCATGATTAACTGCCTAGAATCCCATATATAGTAAAGTATTTAGGGATTTAGTTCATTTTCATTTAATGGATTTAGAACATCATCAAAATTTGAAAACATATGCCTGTTGTACTCTCATTGCTTAAGGATGCTCTACACCAAATATGGAAATAATTTCCGAAATTTGAAGAGTAGAAGGATCTTGAACAATAAAATATCCCTACATTCCCCCTATTAGACCCAGCTTCTCTGACCCCATTTATACAAAATTGAGTCCATTTTGCCAAGAGATGCTTTACATCAAATTTGATATCACTCCATTCCTAAGGAAGATTTTAAAGATCTATCCCTATGGGCCCCAGACTGGGGAGGTCACACCCTTTGCTTGTACAAATGAATTATCCTTTGCCCAAGGATGTTCTTCACAAAATGTGGTTAAAATTCTTAAATTTATATGGAAGGCAAGGGATTTAAGCATTTATCACTATGTTAATTCCCCTTATTGGGCCCCACCCCTCTGTCCCCAAGGGGTCTCACTCTCGTTTATCAAAAATTGAGACCTATTTGCCAAGTTATGCTTTACACCAAATTTGATTAAAACCCCTCAATTTGTTATGAAGAAGGATTTTAAAATTTACCCCATTGGGACTTCTGCACTTTCCTTTATATAAATATCCCCTTTGCCAAAGGACGTTCTGGATAACATTTGGTTCAAATCTCTCCTTTCATACAGAAGTTGAATGATTGTTAAGATTTATCTAAATTTCTCCTAATGTGCTGGGCCGTTCCCCTCTGCCCCCAAGAGGCCCACACCCTCCGTTTCAACAAAATTAAGTCCTCTTTCCCAAAGGATGCACTACACAAAATTTTGTTAAAATCCCTCCAATTGTACTGAAAGAGAAGGATTTTAAAGATTTACCTCAATTTCCCCTAATGGGCCCCAAATCTTGCCCCCTGGGGGCCACGCCCTCTGATTTGTTTATACAAAATTGAATCCCCTTTGCCCCAGGCCAAAATTAGTCAATATCCACTCAGGACTAGTAGCGTTTTAAAGGAAAAGTTGACAGAAGGCTGGACGGACGACTGACACTGTACCGAAAGCTCACTTGCTCTTCAGGCAGGTGAGCTAAAAACAATGTTAAGGCAGTTTTATGAATTACATTATACAGGTTTTGTGGCATTTCAGTGCCGTTATATAAAAAATAAATATAAAATATTTTTCATTAGCAAATAGATTTAACTTAGCTGGAAAAACACAGAGCAAGCCTTACATCAGCTGTGGGTATGCCTTTTTTCATAGGTTTAAACTTTTTATGAGGGTCAAGTTTGTAGATGTACTTGTCTGTGATGGCAACTGCTCGCTCTGCCTGCTGGTTGTGCTTGTTAACCTGTTGCAGGGGAAACAACTCATTATTAAAAATATGGATTTCATACACACTGGGCCTTTTTAGCAAAATTTCAATCTACTACTTTGCAGACTTTTTTTCTCTCAAAAGGAATTTGTCTGTTCCAAAAATAAGAGAAAATACTCTACCCACTTACAAATTAAGAAAAAATCCTTTTCATGTTCCAGTCAGAGCTTTGCCAAAAATGTTAGTCCTTTCCAATTAACTCATTCACCCCTGAAGACACATTTGAACTCCTCCAAATCAAAAGTTGGAATAGTTCATTATGAAATTTCAGGGGTTAATGGGTTCAGGTAAAATGAATTGTTCAGTATTGAATGTTCTCCCCAGTAACCATGAGAGGAACTTATAATTTGATTTCAGTTATTTTCAAGACCAGAGACTTGGTCTAGTACCCCTCCAAGTTTTTGAAAAAGCTCCATCATAACTTCCAGCAAAGTCTATACAAACCTGATTGTTCAGCATACTAGAGGAACATGATGTTTTCATCAGGTGATCGCAACACTGAACCCTGTGAACATTGTGTAGCATAGCATACCTTCTTTACATAGGTGGAGAACAGAATCTTTGTGAAAGCATCATGTGATTTGAGTGAGTTCATCTTTGCTACAAAATCAGCAGTACTGCTGTTGTCTTTTGTCTGAAAACAAAACACATTTTTGTTAATTGGAATACTTTACCTTCCCTATAGGTAATAAATCAGACTACAGTCAAGCATCATTGTCTTACTATCAAGCTCCAGGGGTTATTAACAAGCACCCTTCCTGCATCCCTGGAATATGTCATAACAAAATTGGAGCTTGAGCAATTGGATTGGTATCACTGAAAAGCTCACCTGTTATTTTGTTTTCATTTCAAAACCTGCAGAGTGCTTTACCAGTTTATCAAAGAGGTACATGAAATTCAAGCTGCAAAAAGGATTATTTAATCTCTTTGGGTGGTAATTAAGACACCAAGAACATGAGTTTGTTTCTGCCATGCCAAGCAACTCTGTACATGGTTATATCCTGGGGTTCTGAACTGTTACAGTTGACCAAGGAAAGTAGTCTCCAGAGGCTGGTCTGGACCTCTGGACCAATCTTGGTAGCATGAATGTTTTCTTCATGTCTAGCAATTGTATATTTGGTGTAATGCATTTTTTTAAAACTTATTTACATCTATTTCCCTTATTGGGGGAAACAAATTGAGAAAATTGTGTCCCACTTGCCAAAGGATGCTCTAGACATTTTTTTTTAAATCCCTTCATTCATATGGAAAGAAGATTTTAAATATTAAGCTCCATTTTCTCTATTGAATCCCACCCTCTGCCCCACGTAGCCACACCTTCAAATTATACAAAATTTGGTTGTCTATTGCCTGCAGGTTCTCTTGACCAAAACTGGTTGAAATTCCTCCATTTGTCTTGAAGGAAAAAGATTTTTTAAATATTTTCCTTTATTCCCCCTTTGGGCCCTGCCCCACTGCCTCAAGGGGGAATACCCTCAATTTGTACAAAATCCAAAACAAATTTGATAATAACCCCTCTATTCACGCAGAAAAAAGCTTCAAAAGATATATCCCTTTTCCTCTATTAAATAAACTCTGTGCCTTGGTGGCCAAATCCTTTGTTAATACACAATTGAATCACCTTTGCCCAAAGATGCTCTAGAACAAGTTTAGATAACATACAATATTGACCCTCTTCAATTTTTTTGATAATATCCCTCTATTGGTAAGGACCGAAAAGGTTTTTGAAGATTAACCTTTATAATGGTTTCTGATATATCGGATAAACTTCTGTCTTGTCTTAAGATGATCATAAGCCCCGATAAACAGTTTCTGATCTATCAGACAAACTTCTGTCTTGTCTTACGATGATCATGATGCCCCGATTAACAATTTACTAATCTATCAGATAAGCTTCGGTCGTGTTTTAAAATGATCATAAGGCATTATCAACGATTTCTAATCTATCAGATAAACTTCTGTTGTGTCTTAAAATGATCATAAGCCATGACTATTCAGGTTTCTGATCTATCAGATAAACTTCTGTCGTGTTTTATAATGATCATAAGCCATCACTAACCATTTCTGATAAGTCAGATAAATTTCTGTTGTGTCTAATGATCATAAGCCATGAAGAATGGTGTGTTATCTATCTATAAAGTTGTGATGTATACGTATCTTATGATTATGTACATGGGCGCTTCTCAGCTATTAGGAAATAATAATTGCCGTCACTTTTTCAATTTAATTTTTTATTAGAATGCGGGTAAATAAAGAAATTTGACAGTAATGTGTTATTTCTTAATTTCTAAGATAGCAATTGCAATATGATGTTTCATTTCTCAAGGGGTCGGACTTGAAATATGTTTCACAAGTCTGATGTCAAGAATTTTCGTCGCCATTTTGCTCGGGAAATGGATGGACTTGAAACATGATAAGATTTTCACTATTTAATTCTTGTGACATATGTATGGAATGACGTATTTTTCAAATATATAAACTAGCACTTAAAACTACACATACACAATTGATGAATTTGCTATCAAATAAAAGATATTGAAAATAGAAATTACAGCATACGCCGATTACGATGTCGGTCAAAATGACGGTCTCGCAGATCCGTTTTCAAAATGATTAATACGTTCTCGTATGATAATTTGGTGGATTGTGTAAGGTAACAATGGTTCTATTTATCGATTTAAAATAACAAAGCTTTTCATATTGTAATGGATTAGTTATCAATTCATCATTTATTACCGAGATGTCAAGTGTCGGTCAATTCCGTAATCGGCGTTCAGTCGGATCGTTTGTACCACACGTACATATGCGGACTTTTTTAAAGGGTGCTAAAATATCCCTGAGACCAAGTTATGTGTACTACGTCAGCGATTCCAGCACATTCACACCGGAGAGGGAAACATGAAGGTAGGTTTGGCGTAGGTCAACTAATTGAGTCAATTAAGTAAGTGCCGTCATGGATAAATAACGATGCATGTTGGAGCTATTTATGAAATGCTTACATAGTTTACAAGTTAATGATGGCAATGGAATGCATTCACGGATTCGATTAATAGAAAATACTCGCATTTTCTTGCAAGTGTCATGCGGATTCCAGTGAAATCCGTGTTCGTCAATTACGTTTGACACCAGTTTTTTTAACGGCGATTATGTATTGACACAAAATAATTTGACAAGTAATTGCCGTGTATGCTTTCTGTGTGTAAATGATATCGGCGTATTCCTAATCGTAGATGAATTAAAGTGATCTGAAGATGGTTTATCTGACATTCTAAGCTGCATAATTGTAATGTGTACAGCACATACGAACGATAATATTTTGTTTATTTTCGTGCGGAGATTATGCCTTGACAGTATACATTGCGAACCGAGGTGTCGAAGCATGCAGCCAGATATGTCAATAATAATTGCCAAACACCAATATACTTTGAACAAAAATGTATCACTTTAATGAATCATTAAATTAAAATGAAAATGAACCACATACTTGTCATTATTGGATTATCATATCTAGTTGCATGTTTGGGAAATATTTAATCAGATTTTTGGTTTTTAGTTCGGCAGTTATATTGACATTGATTTTCCTGTCAAATGTAATCTCCATATATTAATAATTATGTCAATCGTAATCTCCATTATTCACACAGGCCTTACTTGTTCAGTTTGAAATAAAATATCTAGATAAAACATTAATTTTTGGTGGTAATTAAAAAATAATGCACACTTCTCATTATATTTTTTTTCTGTGATTATGTTTGTTAAAATATTGTTTAAAAAACAGGTTGTCAATGGACTAAATTTAATAATTGGCTTATAAATGTTTAATTTAGGTTACAAGATCATTTAAATCAATTTCTTTATATGGTAATTATGTTTGACAAAGACTACAGTGTGCCAAGAGGGGGTGGGGGTGGCGGGACCCCTCAAAATTTTATAATCTAAATTTCAAAATCTTTAAAAGTTACCAAATTTGGCCCCTTCATCTTCAAAACCAGTAAAACCCCTGTAGTTCAATTGTAAAAAACTTAAGACAGCATATATCTTTCATTTTCCTTCAGATACTGTTATTTGTGTTTTAAAATTTGTGAAACCAAATAATTGCAGTGTTGTACCTGGAAGTTATTTTCATGAGGTAAAATTTCGATATATATATTTTTTGCAGAATTTCCCTGTTCTCCGTGCTCGCACGCCAAAGAAAAAAGACGACGCCACAGTACAGAATAAACTTACTGCAGCTGAAAGAGCTAAACGGTAAAGTAACTAACTGTTATACAATAATGTTAAAAAAAAAATAATGGTACTTTGAATTGAAGTATTAATGAAGTTATAATCGCCACAGGTCTGGGAAGGCTAGTTACAATCTGCCACAGATTTAGAGTCTACAATTGGTTTGACTACATATCTTGAATTATAGCTCAAGTGGTGAAATTAATATATATGTGATGACGAGAAGGATTATTAAATTTAAAGGCATATAATTTATATTATATTGAATATTGTATTTCTCAGATACCGAGAGAAAAGAAAAAATGATACGTCATTCAAGGAAAAGGAGAAGTTGAGGAAAAGGGTGGCTTGGCAACAAAAGACATTGGGGCAGAAAGAAAAAGACACTCTAAGAAACCGCAAAAATCAGCAAAGGTAACAAAATCATTTAAAAAGACTGTGGTGTAAAATATCAATGTCAGAAACTGTGAATTTAAGACCCTGCAAATCATAAATTATTTTTGGGAATGCCAATGCAAACTAATTAAGTGTCCAGGAAATCAAAATGAACTCTATTGTCCTGTGTTCAAAATTAGGGCTGTCACGTGTACAGAATATTGCCCCCAGGTTACCGGGTACTCAAACTATTTGACCAATCAGGAATCAGCATGAATGCAAAAAACACTGCAGTAGAGAGTGGTATCAGGGTATTGGGTAGAGATACTAAAATCCACAATCTGTGACCTGTGCTTCGTTGATGATACTAAATTAGTATTTGGTAAAGCTATGAAGTACACGTCTGACATGAATGAAATACACTGTAAGGTTCTTGAGGTGAAATGCAGTCAAAATTATGTTGTATGTGAACATGCTATGTCATCCCTAGTGAGTGAAAACATAAAACATACATACATGTTGAAATATTTTATTCTTTGAATTTGTTGACATACGCAGTGATAGACATTTACCTATTTTGACGGGTACCCAGGTACACATTTTCAAACCCGGTTTCCTATCTAAAATTAAACCGTATTCAGGCACTCAGGTACACGTAACAGCTCTAATCAAAATATTTATATGTCAAATGGCATCAACATAGTGAATTATTTTGACAGGTTCCGTGAAAAACAAAAAAGTGAGGGCATTGTTTTAAGGAAAGCGTCCAAAGTTCTCACGAGAAAAGAAAGAGAGTTAAAAAGGGAATACTGCCGTAAGAAACAACAGGAGTCAAGAAAAAAGAAGCACCCACAGAAAATAAGAAGAAAAAAGGAAAAAGATAGAGTGAGACTGAGGGAATTAAGGTCGAAAGTAAACATCCAAAAGCTGAAAAAAACTACAGCTAAGAGAAACACTTATTGAAACTTTGAAAAGTAATCATGTAGCAAGGCGAATGGCTGCAAAGAAGTTATCAATTTTGAAAAATTCTAGAAT